ACCACTGTGGACCAATGATGGTGAGGCTTCTATAATAGAATATGATACAAATCATTTCATTGGATAACAGCTGCCCATTGTAGAGGTATGGAAACCACTGTGGACCAATGGTGGTGAGGCTTCTATAACAGAATATGATACAAATCATTTCATTGGATAACTGTTGGCCACTGCAACCAGATATAAAGAAAAACATTATTATTGCTCTGTATGATGCGTCTAACTTCTTTAAAGATAATTACATAATTTGCTGACTTGTCAAAGTAATCTGTAAACGAAAGCAATACTATCAATTATGTTTGAAATTTACATTAATCATTTATATAATGTCCCTCTTGTTGGGGAGGGGGGGGGGTGAGAGAAAAAGAGAGGAGGGAGGGGGAAAGAGAGAGAGACTTGCCTCTTCCTGCTGGTTGCTATTGTTTCCATTCTTGTTCAGGAATGGAGACGCAGGGTGAAAATGGCGGACAGTCAGCAGCACTTCATCTCCCGCATTCTTCAGCGCCAGCACTGCCTCGTCATGGTTGAAGTGCTCAATATTGATGTTGTTGACCTGGCAAAAATTCTATACACATTGAATTCTTCTAACATCTACTTTTCTTACAATAAATCAAAATACATGTTTATAACTGTGCTGGCTTATATCTAAACAAAATTATGTGACATCTCAAAGACTTACCATGTTTTAAAATTTGTATTTACACAGATTAAAGAGATTTGCATTGAAAGAAAAAAATCAAAAATATAGGGTAAAGTTATATACTACTCTTTTTCAAAAAAAAAAAAAAAAAAAAAAAAAAAAAAAAAAAGTTTACTGAGTATTGTGAAGAGAGTATGTTATGGAATAATAGACCTGTTACATTTGCACATTTTCAAATAGCAAGTTTTGAAGGCCCAGCTGTAAGTACGGGGGAATAATATCTCATGAGGATTCAACAGTTTACCCTCTACTGGGGAATTGGTAATTTAACTTAGACTATTGATTTTTAGAGAGCAAAAGTAGAGCAAGGAAAAAAATCATCTTAAGCCAAACTTACATTAGATAATATAAGCATTTTAACTTGCAAATACTTATTGCCTCTGTATCTTTTCTGGTATAAATACTCCATCTTGTGGCTTATCTTATGTTACATGCACCTAAGTGATGGTTTAAAGGATCAACCACGTTGGTTATATTATGCTACCTTAGTGATGGTATATGTAACCATAGTAATGATATATGTAACCATAGTGATGGAATATGTTACCATAGTGATGGTGCAGGTTACCTTAGTGATGGCATCACCTACAAACAGCTCCCCTGTCCTCTCAGCTGAAATTACAAAAACAATAGGCAATTGAATGGTCTTTCTTTTTTGTTTTGCTTTGAAATTAATTAATACTTTCAGTCAGTTAATACAGTCAGTTAATACTTTGTGCCAGACTTTTGCATTCATTTACCTATTTATTTATCAATATATCTATGTAATTATTTTATTTCCACTGAACATACCGGCTTGGTTTTTGAACAGTCTTGATATCAGTATGGGCAGGTTGTGCTCCGCACCTCCTTTTACACTGAGACCAAGTCCTCCCACCTTCTCTCTGTGTAGGAGTACAGGTCTTTCCTGAAACATAATAATAATAATAATAATAATAATAATATACTCCTCCTTTCACACTGAGACCAAGTCCTCCCACCTTCTCTCTGTGTAGTAGTACAGGTCTCTCCTGAATAATAATAATAATAATAATAATAATAATAATAATAATAATAATAATAATAATAATAATAATAATAATAATAATAATAATAATAATAACACATTGAGACCCAGTCCTCCCACCTTCTCTCTGTGTAGTAGTACTGGTCTTTCCTGAAACATAATAATAATAATTGACTCCTCCTTCACACTAAGCCCATAATGTAAATTGCATGTGTTCATATTTTTATTTTACATATTTATTTTTATATTGCAATGAAAAAAGCATTTTGAAGAAAAGATCAGTAAAAGGGAAATGAAGAAATTACCATGTCATAATACACTTATCAGGAGATTAAGTCTTTCAGATAGATTTCATGGATTTTTTTCAAATAAACAAGCTAGGTAATCCATATCAGTTTGACCTCAGCCATAAGATTCCATTAACTAAGACATGCTGAGTCTAAGTTTGATTGATTGCAGTTATAATTCAGATAAATGTATTGTGGAGTGAGTACAACAGTCTGTAAGCTTGCTTTTCTTGTAACGGCCACTCAGTTAATTACATTAATGTTTTTAAATGACATCTTGTTATAGACTAACGCCTCGGGTACCAAACCATACACACACGAGAGAGGGTCAGATGGCGCGGCGTTTCTGTATACCTCCCAGGGGGCGCCATGATCAATGACGGAGATCTCTGGAGGAGGTTAATGAGACCCTGGGGGCGTTTACACACAGTGCCATCTATAGGAGAACTCATTAGTTCATTCAGACCTGGCCAAGTACAGACTAGAAACTAAACCAATAACTAGTACAGGTAGAACTTAAAATGCTTTTTTTGGGTGAAACTTTACATATTATGGTGCTTGTTTTCTGAATATCCATTTCAAATACATGCTTGGTTTTATAAGGCTTTATAAGGTTTGTTCATCTATTAAAACAACTAGGCCTCTTTTTCCAGTCCAAAAGGAATTTTGTCTGAATGCTCCACTTGGACTGGTAGAATGGAGTGTGGTAAGTCCTCTAAGTTCACAATCGATACAGACAGCCCCTGTGGGGGGCTGACATAGCCAAGTCAATTACAGTCTCTGTGATGATTGAATTAAGACGCCCTGGTAATTCTATTTGAATCTCCAAACATATGGTGTCTTCCCTCCCGCGGGCCTTGCGTGGTCAACTGCGCCTCTACTGTGTGTTTCATACTATACACAGAATTTATGGTATCCTTTCTCTGGGGATTTAGGTGGTCAACTGAGCCCCTGCTGTCTGTATGATACTATACACAGTGTTTATGGTGTCCTTTCTCTGGGGATTTAGATGTCAACTGAGCCCCTGCTGTCTGTATGATACTATACACAGAATTTATGGTATCCTTTCTCTGGGGATTTAGGTGTCAACTGAGCCCCTTCTAGCTGCTTGATACTATACACAAAGTTTGCAACACACAGAAGCTAGACAACTTTTGATGATGAAAATTAAGAAGGATCATTTTTGCGAAATTGCAGATAAAAGTAATTATTCAGTAAAATATATGGTCTTGACAGAAATGCTTTAAAAATAATGTATGAAGTGATCTTTAATTGCAACAGATTGGTGTTACTTTTTAAGTTATTATGAGACTGGTGCAATATATGGCACACTCATATGTAAACTCAAAGTAAAATGGCAGCTAGTTTCATGAAGCTTTAATTAGTTAGAGTTATAATCTTGCCAACTACTGTAGAAGACTTTAAGATCATTACTAGTAACCTAGTTCGATCTATAGTAAACCTAAGTTGTTTAGTAAAAGTAAATGGCTAGTTCTTTAGTTACTTACGGTACTTTCAAAACAGTCTGAAGTGACACTCTTGTGTAAACGATGTCATTAATGGGCTAACTCTCTAATGTTTGGAGGCTTGAACCACACAGCATGGATGACAAGAATGGCAACTGTCACACCCTGTCACATTGTATACAAAGACACATGATATAAAATGAGAACTAACGAACCTTTCCATTTCACTTATTATGCATGTGTACAATAAAACTCTACAGTTTGCAAGTGCTCTGACCCACTTGTTAAATATCCATGATAACAACAAGACAAATATGAATGAGAGAAATAGCAATAGTTATATGAAAGGACACTCATGATCATAACAAATGAGAGGCTAATGAGCCATCGCTAACAAACGAGAACTTTGTGAATTGGGTCCCAGAGTACTCCTAGAATATCTGTTGCTCCAATATGTGTTTTTGTAACAGACAGACTCTCTTGTGGTTTAAGATATATTTATAATTTTCACCCCTGATGTTATTCAAGGGTGTTTTAGAAAGAATGCTGGTTACACCAATAGGTGGCTTGGTCTGAAAACACATACAGACAGACGAACAGCAACTCCAGCACTGTTTGAAAATCTGGCGCCAATGCCTTTTATAACGAGATGTCACATGACAAAGACGCGGTAAGACAGAACAAAGGAACATAGACAAAACACCAATTAGGAGGCGTCAGAATCACAGCAAGTCACAAGACAAGACAACTCAAGACGAGTGCATATTTATACATAGTTACATTTTATTGAAACAGTATTGAGCGAACACAGAGAAATATCAGTCCAGCATAAGACATGACACACATGTGTACATACAACGGAGGTATCTGGTGGGGCAATTGTGAATTTTCAGAACCTCTTAGTAAAGAATAATTCTGTTTTACTGTCATATCTGGAGACCATGAAAACCACAATACACCTTACCATATGGCAGTCTGAATAATTTTCAAAGTTCTGGCTACAGACAAGGTGTACTATCTGACAAAACCCAACTATTCGACCAAATAAGTTTTTAACTTACAAAATATCTGGTATCTTTTCTAGGGTCATTTCCTATGAAAATCAAAGTTTGTAAACCAAGTTTTCACTTACCCCTAGAAAAGCCTTGTGTCCATGCTCCGTACTGGTGTAAATGATTTCTTCCTTCTGTATCTGAAGAGTGTCATGTGACAGAAGCAGACGACGTGGCTCTTGACTTCCCTTTCCATTGGACACCAGAACCATCCCCTGCTTGACCTGAACAAAACACACAGACAGACTGGGAAACATTCTTAAACACTTGTGGCAAACATTTATTAATAACAGATAATTAGATCTTCTTTTAAACTAAAGAAAAATAACTGAAAACTGAGGAAGTGCTGGCAATTTTTTTCTCTTAGCCCGAATCATTACTTTTTCACCAAATGGTTTAAATTTGACCAGAACAAGTCAAATCAATCAATTTTTGTTAAACCAACTTCAGTCAGTTTTAGCATTTGGCTAAATTGGTGAGTGTTAGCGCTATCCCAGGAAAGGACTCTGGTAGACTGGAGAAAAATGATACAAAACTATTTGTTTTGTGATTTGTAATAACAACCTTATACCTGAGACCAAGCAAACAGGAGATATAAAGAACAAGATAAGCATGACGTAGCTTTATATGACACACATTCACACTAACAAGTGTTCATACCTCATGAATTTTATATGGTTTGAAACATAAGCTGCTATCATTTTGCTAGCGCTATATCTATATACCTTCAAACCCTATGGCAATATTCATTTATAACCTCATTCCTTTATGTTACTGCACAATATCTCCCACTTCTCTAATAATCACCGCATTATTGCAACTTCACAATGAAGAATTTTTGTCTAATTTGATTCAGTGCTCAGTTCATCTACACCCCCCCCCCCACCCGGTCATTAACTGTAGTGTGCCTAACTGTGATAGCCGTCTAGTAGTATGTGGACACACTGCAGTCTGGGGTAGCACTAGCAATTTTTTTCACTTGGACAAATCACTACTTTTTCATTAATTTTTTTCACAAAATGGTTTAAATTTGACTAAAACAAGTCCAGCCAAGTCTATTTTGTTTAGCCAATTGAGGTCAGTTTTAGCATTTGGCTAAATTGGCGAGTGTTACACCCCATTTCCATAGATTTTTAGATCGATCTATCCCTGTGGGGAGTCTCACTAGATTACTGTCAGCTTGGCCGGCTTAAGCGTCTGTCCCGCCTATTAAAAGCTGTAAGGGGGTAATTAACTATGGTGCCCGCTCGGCTGACTGCAATTTAGCATGAACCCCCAGGGAGTTAGGTCGATCTAAATCTTAATCTTTAGATCGATCTAAATCTCTGGGAAAGCACCCTTAGTGCTACCCCAGTCAACGTGTCAAAGTCAACTGGAACAGTTGTCTTCTACTTATTCAGAAGTAATCAGCTAGAGCACCTGCAGTGTCAGCTAGCACAGAACTATCAAATCATTTTGCAAGTAACACATCATAAACTGCTTATAGTTTATATGTTGTTATTTCTGACAACAATTTCCCACGAGGAACAGACGATACTGGGAATTCTGGCTAATAATTTTCAAGAATTTGTGAGAGGATTTCGCAAACTACACGCTGTTTTAAGTAGTATTTAACTTTCTGAGTTTTCTTGAGGGTCAAATCCTTATTGGACCAAAGATGTTTTGTGAGCTTAGTTTATCATATCAAAAATAGGTTCCCTAAGTACTACACTTTATACATTCCTCTATAAATCTCCCAACACTCATGCATACTCCCTACACACATGCAAATATAAACATTTTCATAAAGACTGCATTTGTCTACTAGTACAAAGCACAAATAAACTATTGATTAAGATGATATAACTGCTATCAGCTGAACTCTACTGTTAATACAGGAGACACACAAGCACCTGTTGCTGGCAGCAGCTGGAGATGAATAATGTAACCATGTATGATTTACCTGAATACATGTAGTAATAATATGTCCACTGGCAAGATGTATGTGACTCTGTATTTGGAAAATTATCCGTGCTTACACGTACTATTGGAATGTTATTATTACTCAGTTACCTCCACGCCCACATACATACACACACACACATGCCCACACACAGGCACAAGCCCCCCTACAAATTCACACGCACACACACACATACATGCATACACACACACACACACACACACACACACACACACACACACACACACACACACACACACACAGGCACACAGGCAGCCCTCCACACTACATACTGGGCTGTGTTTCTTCAGCTTCAGCCTCTTGTTACTCTCCATTGACTTTAAATGTTCCTTGTAACTATTGCGATAGAAAGGGTTATAGCCGCCATATCGACACTGGGCGCCATAATTATGCCGAGTGGGTCTGGGGTGGTGATCTGCTCTGGTTGGTGATGATGATGTTTCTGACTGTGACGACTGAGACGATGGCGCCAGTGACTGAGATGATGGTGCCAGTGACTGAGATGATGGCGCCAGCGACTGAGATGATGGCAAGGGTGATGATGGTGGCGAGGGATCTTCTGGTTTAGAGGCCATCTTCATCCCAGTAAAAAAATCTTTTAAAAGTTAAAGTACTGGTCAGTCTCTGCTGACCTTAAGCAATGTGTTACTGTGTTCTCAGGCTGTGTTCTCAGGCTGGTGAGTCTGTAACATACACATTAGCAGCTCAACACACGGTGACAGAATGAGATAATTATAACTTTAAACTAACAGCTTCCTGCTGTAGTTGTGAAGAACTGTCAGAACTGTCCACAAAGTATCAATATCTGCAGTGCCTCCTCTGCACACTGGTGATGTTGTCAGAAACAGGACAATTACTGACTGCATGCACAGTTTCCTTACAAGTCTTACAAGGTGCCCTCTGTCATGACACCATGTCCCTCTCCTCTCAGTCTTCACAGTTCCTTACCTTCTATCACAGAAATACGTGTACACACATCCACCACAATCTACAACTCCATTGATCCAATTGTTGAGATATAACTCCATTCAACTTTTTCATGTCATTCATCAATTTAGTGGCTCTGTAACCAAGACTTAGCACAGCACTGCTGTAACCTGTGTACTAGTACTCACACTTAGTTTATTTCTGACTCTGTGAGTTGACCAAGTAATAAACAATACCCAATATTGCCAGCAATGAAGTCAATGCCTTTACTTCACTTCAGTGTAATAGTTGTATAATGATGAGTAATATGCTGCAGTTTGGGGTTAGTGTGCCAGAGACGACAGTACTAGTACAGAAATATGTTATAGAAGTTCTTAGAGCTCAGTCCACAAATTACACGTTCCCACTCTTGATAATTTTCACAAACAAGTGTATGAAGATGATGTCTTCTTTCTGATTCAGTTGTTTAATATTTCAGTTAAATGTGATATGTCACATATACAACAGTTAGCTGTAGTACATCATTAAAGCAGCAGAAGTGGCATATGAGTATACTGTTGCACGCACATTCAAAACATAATCGCTCACTCTGATGCACGAAGACTGACGAGAGGCATTTCTAGCCTGGAATAAATGCACCCATTTTCTTCTGTAGAAAAGAAGCAGGAGAGGCATCGCTGTCTTTTTAGTAAAGAGTATTTCAATGCAACAAGTTTTAATAAAGAATATCTTAGAAGTGGCAAACATCTACTAGTAAGTTATCTGTAAAGAAAATCCTTATCCCATGAAGTAAATCTCACTTTCAGTTCAGTCTGTGATCAGTTTTTAGAAGTAAAATATGATCTTTGTCTTCCACTGACTACAATAACCATCCTGACATCACCCGACCACGGTGATTCTCATCCGGACTCCTGGACCTCCAACACCAACCTGTGACGTACCACTGCCAAAACAACAACAAAGTTACTAGTATTCTGTTACCTTCTCCCTATATCAGTTACTGCCATCTTGGCTCCTTCAAACCTTAGGGCACTTTCAGTTCACCAAATTATACAGCCTTAATCCAATCCAAGTCCTGGCGGGCATGAAGGTGAGGGTTGGGGGGGGGGGGTGTCACAACAGGTCCTGCGGTTTATCTGCTTCACTGTTGAAAATTAAAATTCAGCTCCCAGTATTTCATATCTTGGTTCTGTCATTTGCACTGCCATCTAGAGGTGGCCATAGACACTACTCTGCACAAGTTGTGACAAGATCCTAAGTAAAAACATGGCTTCTTACTTTCCTTCTCAGTCACTGATCTGAAAACACCTCTCAGAAAACTTATGTCAGAACCAAGTGTCCAGAGTGAATCCTGGAAGGTGATCAACATGTGATCTACTCAAGTGACACTTCCTAGAAATTCAACGAAACTGTTTTCAGGGCAACTATAGTTTGACGATATGTCATACTGAGAGCAGTTAAGAAGTCGTTATTTCTGAGAAACAAGTACTAGTACCCAAGTGGAAATGAAACAGTTAAGTGAGCAAATGTTGTGCTGATAACATACAAGAATCTGTAAGTTGATTCCATACACTATGCACACTGTATCCTTTCTCCACGTCACGGCAGTCTCCTCAGATGACGCATCACAGAGCCAGTGAAATTTCTTTTAGTACTAGCATTTAGTACAGCAAATGTATTCCATGGCATCTGTTTGTATGTAAACTCAATAGTTATTCAATTTCAAGCAGCAATCCATAACCTTACTGCCAACATGGGCAAAATATTGAATTTTTCTTTCCAGAAAAGGTGTCCAAGTGCATGAACAGTCCTCCATGAACGACTGTCACAAGAGCAGGGTGGCTCCCCCTGGATAATGCAGGTGGCTCCCCCTAACTTTGTAGATAATGTTACGCCAGTGCCTCACTCTGGTATACTTCACTGACAACAGGTGTTACGTGAGAAAATGGCACTGGTGTGTCATCAAAAGTAACTTCTTAGTCTTGTTCATAAACTTGTTAGTTCAGTCAGCTCTGTATTGTAACTGTACTTTCAATTTTCTCTATCAAACTTCATACACAGTGTGTCAGCATCCTACATATGATTTTTTCAATGCAGAAACCTTGTATTATGATTCAATCATCACCAGTTTACAATCTACAAGTGGCTGTAACTGTAGAATTATCACACCAAATATAACAGGACAACATTTCTCCAGTATCCCAGTGGAATGGCCGGGTTAGGTACCTGCACCATTCATCTTGTTATATCACCGTCATCTCTGTACTGTCAATTGCATCTTCACAGATTGGTCAGTCAATTGGTCGTCTAATTATCTCCAGGAAATAAATGACC